TATAAATGGCAGGCGGAGACTCGCCAACTCACCGACCGGGCCCCGGGAATGGTTGCTAGATATAGCAACAGAGGGGCAACGAGAATGTGAGTGGCTGAAGGGTTAAGAAACTACCACCGCTTTCTACTCAGATCATCTGCTCCAGCCGAAGCCTCCTGCATCCCTGGCCCACTCGCGACTTACGAATAGTTTCTTACCCTCCGAGCAGGATCACTGCTCTCGCGACTCCACTCTGGACGGCCAATGAAGGCAAGCCAGAGGTGGGAGACCTGTTCCTTGTCATCGTTCACTCCAGCCAGCCAATTAAGGCAAGCCGGAGAAGAAGGAACGGTGACTTCTCCCTGGAGCACTCGGGATGATGGTAGCCCGCGGGATCGCTAATGCCCGTCACCTCGCCTCAAGGTTATTATTATTATATGTTTTAGATTCCTACAATGTGTTAAAAAACCAAGTCGATCCATAAGGTAGAAGATACATAGACATGATAGAAGACTTACGTTATAAAACATGTATTTAACTTTATTTCCTTTGTTAAGGCTTTGACTGTCAATAAAAAAGCTGTTGAAGGCCAATCCATTAACGTCGGTCAGCGGTGACCGCCATGACGTTGATTGAGTTAAAAAGGCGTAAAACGTTTTTAAAAAGTCCCTTAGAATTTATTTTTGAATCTTAATCATAACAAACCTTTAAGAACGAGGCTGGGTTTTCCGATCACATTGCATGAATAGAAAATTAAATTCAACTGAATATTCTAAGCTGAATTTATTTGTTTTAACACACACAAGTGAGATTATAGCTTAGCTTAGTATTCTAATTTCACAACACCTGTAATATGGATTACGAAAATATTAAGTACTTTTTCTGTATAAAATGATTCCGTTTTGTTCATTGTACAAGTAAATAAGGCGTTTGTTGGTTTCAAAACATGTTCAAACAATAATATTGATTATTTGAGAAAACCTCGACAAATTTCAAGTCAAACTGGGACTCGTACTAGTAGAATTTATCTCCAATACTTGTCGTGAGTAACCCACGACAGTTGTTATACAAGAAATAGGAGCAGTAAAATACTCACGAGTCATAAATTAAAAATGGGACTGAAATAGAATTATCTATCTTGTCACACACACAGGTATAACACTAATAAATAAAATGCTATTGTAGAGATCAATTATTTTAACTACGTATGAGTAAAAGGTACAATGCATTACAATAAGATAATAAATATATTATTAATTAATTAATTAACTAGTTTTACAGTTACACACAGCCACGACAACCATTTAATTCTACCAAGTAGGTTAGGTCTAGGAGGGCTATCTTTTTGCGCTTACTAGGTGGCGCTAGCGAAGCATTCGCAGAATTCACATAAGACTTACTTATGTGAATTAATTAAACGCTGCCAAAACAGCTGAACAAGTTTATTTTACCTCTATAGATAAAATAGCATATTGTATTCCTAAAAACATATGTTGAAGTCGATAAATAATCAAATTGGATAAAATTTATCATCTCTGTTGGATCAGAAATCTGTGTCCACTAGCGCCTCCAGCGGCAAATTCAAGTACGATAGTCCTCATCTAGATTGCATGGTTCTATTTCTTTGGTTCATTGTTCATACAATAAGGTATGTATTATTTATTAGTCTTTAAAATGATGCAGTCAGAATAATAATATTAATCACTTAAGTGAAAACACAGCCATTTAAATCCAAAACGTATTTGGAAACTTTAACAAACTGAAGTCAATAACAGAAGTCGTAGTAACATTAATGACAAACAACTTTTACCTAAAATTAAGTTATAACAAAGATGGCAACATTCATTTTAAAACGTCAAAAATAAATAAACGTAATGTTGCAAGCTAAGCAAAAATGAGGCTGGCATAAAACAAATAAAAAGCCATCGCTTAATAATTAAAAATATTGCAATAATAAAGCGTAGAATATCTAAATATTACAAAATAAATAATTATTAGCATTGCACAAAAGCGTTTAATGTAGAATAATATTGCAACAAGCAAATAATAAAATTCAAGCCTAGTTTGTAATTGCCTAAAAAACACTATACCATAATTCTCTAAAAAGCCTAATCTATATATATATAAAAGAAAGTCGTGTTAGTTACACCACTTATAACTCAAGAAAGGCAGAATAGATTTGGCTGAAAATTGGTAGGGAGGTAACTTAGAGCCAGGAAACCGACATAGGATACTTTTTAACCAATACTTATTTTTTACTTTTTACCGAAAATCACGAACGGGGACGGGAAAAAATGAGATTACGCGTACGAAGTCGCGGGCAGAAGCTAGTAAATATATATAAACCGGCTAGCTAAATAACCAAGTGGTTCAAGGCTAAGCTAAAGCATTACAATTGCAACTAAATAATTAATCTTGCAACTAATCTTTTTTTTATTACGTTGTTTCGCTACTGTCTTTTCCTAATCTGTTTTCTTTAGAACATCGTTTGAGGAAATGGTTAAACCAAAGATTAATTCTTTTTTTAATTATGAAGAGTTTCAATTTCTGGATTGATAACTATGACTGTATTGTATTGTATATTGCACTATGATTTTACCAATCTACTAAGAATAGCTATAAATATCAGATTAATTCTAAACATCGAGAAATACTAAAGTATTTAATATGGAACTATTTACTTAGTTTTAAACTATTAAATATATTATAATCTAATCGAATTACAACTTTTTTAATGGTTTATCGACTATTAGGCAGTATAATTGCGTTTTAAAGCTAAAGCATAAATAATTTTTAAAAGCATATACTTAAATTTCATAAGAACACTATTCAGAGGTATATTCGTATATTTTTGGCACATATTTAGTAAAATATTGAAACTTACGATTAAAAAACAACACCGAATATTTTGACGAACTAACATCATTAGCCTATCATGAACAACTTTTTCTACCAATTAACTTACATTCGTACCTAGACCACTCTATGAGATTCTAATAACTATGTGTACAGTCAGCCAAACAGTACAGAGGTGGCATTATAGTTTATTGTATACCTTTTAACGAGAAGTAAATTGTTACCATTGGTTGTCTCACACAGACTGACAGTCCCTGTCTTGATCCAATGTATATTTTGTAACCTGTACACCATACTTTGGCTGACCGTACATTTATATTCGTACCACAGTATCTCAACTAAATCACCTAAGACCCTCAACTTTATGAGATAATAAAATGACTTAAACAATATAAAGTAAGATTCCGAAATCCCATCAAAAATAGTATCGCTTGTTATTTGAAAATATTGTAGTAAAAATATTTATTTAACAGTCACAACTCGTATAAAGGAATCACGAAGATAATCTTACCGTACTAAGCGTAATATTATGTTTTAAAAAGAAAATAAACCACCATACAGTATAATAAAAAACTTGTGAAAACAATAAATAATTATTAAATCAAAATGTCACAAAAAAAATGTATTAACAATACGAAAAAAGACTAAATCGAGCCTTAAAATCCACAATTCCATTTAATAACATGAACAATCTTTTATATTAAGTATCTGGTATACAATATACAACCTCTTTACTGTACCCTGATAAAGTAAATTGAGAGTTCTAGAATATTCAATTCCCGTGAAACGTTCATTTTATTATTTCATATATTATTAAAATAGTCAAAAGCCCACATCAGGAAGTAATAATGGGAAAAAACGCTTGAACGAAAGAAGGAGGTATGATTTATTACCGAGAAAGGAGATCGGACATTTTAATATGAACATTTCCTTTACTATTAATTAACAACAATGTTAATTTAACAGGAAATGTGTATTTTATTCTTAATTTTATGAAAGTGCTAACGAACTTTTAGGAAATCAGAAGTACATTCGACCTTCACATCGAATACGGATCTAATCTACGAATCGAACACATATTATATACATGTGTAAGTGCGTAGGCGAGATATTTCTTGAATACTCATAACGGAATAAACACTAACCTACTTATTACTTCAAATAATACTGTTACAACCATCTCAATTTGTACTGTCTAAGTATATTTAACGCATATGACATGTACATACAAGAGCATAATAAATAATAAACTATCACAACACGTTAATAAGTTTCAGGTAACAAAGAGGTAGATTAAATTAATGTCGACTAAAATGCCTTTACCTAGCAAAGTAATCAGCAAGTAATAGTTTTCTAATATATTCGTTGATATTTAGGAAAGGTTCTGCTAAGTTATACTTGTGCTTATGTAAAGTTATGTAAGGGATTAGGAATATACATAGATTGCACTAGTCAAGCAATACAGATAAAACTTTTCACTAGTACATCCTTTTTCGATGGGAAAGCAAGAATGTAAAGTGACGATTTGGTTTGATAGTAATGTCCTGCCGAAACCTTGAAATATTGTAATTGAAACTGTTAGAATTATCCTTCACATTTCTACTACTAGAAGGTGTTTCATATTGATAGTATTTTAAGTCATTGATTAGATTATTTGGAGAAATAGCAAGACATTTACCGGAATTGTTTTAAGCATGAGATCAGTTATGTAAATTAATTGAAGTGAAGTTGATATTCATTTCTTATTCTTAGGAGAATTTTCAGCGCTTGAGGCCAACAAAGCTGAAAGAGTAGCATGCGTGGCACTTAACGTACCAGATGTTGGACTTACAATGTTGCTGGAGGAATGTCCTACCACATTATTATTGTTTAGTAGACCACCACTGGTGCCTGAACTGACGATCGTAACGTTTGGAGGTGGTGTAACACCGTTCGCGAACCCAGTGGACAATACCTTCTGCGTATTGTGCATCATAAAAGACTTGGCAGCGCCCGCACTGCCTAAAGTGAGTACTTTCTTCAACATTACAGATGAATTGCAGGCATTGTCGATCATGTCTTTAGTGGTGGAAATACTATCGAAGTCACTGGAACTTGCTGTGACAACTGTACTTATCTTTGGCGTGGATGTGTGTAGGACTGGTCTTACCGCAGTCACATTGAAGGTCGCGCTTGAAGCTGGTGCAGACAGGTTACTCCGATTGATAATGTTCCTTGATACAATCGCGTTGTGTAGTATGTTACCAGTCGGGAACGACTTCGAATTCACATTGACATACTGCGGAGTACCGATGATTGTGGCGTTGGAGGAACGTGTGCCGAAGCCGATGATTGTACTCGCTGTTCCTTGAGACATGACTGTGCTAAATGCACCAGTTTTAGTGTTGATTGGTATACTGGGAAAGAAGAAATACAAAACATGAAACTTTTCGCCGTGTGTCGAGCAATGCTGCGCATGAATATGAACCCCTACCGTGGCGTATAATTAGTCGAATTACCTAACCTCGACAACCATTCGCGTGACAAACCCGTTAAAACTTAATATGTGATCCGAATATCTTCACTAACGTCATGATGCAAAAAAGAAACTAATCAAAATACCAAGAGAACGTCACTTATCTATTCTTGGCGCCTAGTATAAATCTAATACTACAAAACACTTACCCTCGAATAACTTGTGAATTAGTTCCAGGAATGTTCTGTATGGTAACTGTGGCTTGTGGTAGATGGTGAACGGTCCGTTGACCAGTGGGTGGGAGGTTGGAACTGGTGTAGTAGTGCACAGTGCTGCCGGTGATGCGCGGCGGCGCTGCCAAGTGAGCTACTGGCACACTGTGCACCATGCCACTGGTGGTTGAAGCTACCGTGATGCACTTTGTCTGGTTCACGGAAAACTAGAAATAAACGATAATTATATTATTTACACACATCACATTAACAGCCCTCTACATTTAGGAGACACGGTCATAAACACCACACTGAACAGGTGAGTTAAAAATCGCTGTTTTTTATACTCATAGAATTAAATAAATGTGCAAGTAAAAGCTAAGAACAAATGTTAATTGTAGAACAAAATGAAGTGGGTCATCATAATACAACATTAGACCTTTTTATCCCTGAAGGGTGCAGAAGTGCATGTTACAGCACTTAATGCTACTGTACAATGTAACACCCACTTTTCACTATTTATGTTATGAATCCCATCATCCCATGTAATAGGGGGTGAGCCTATTGCCATCAACAAGCGGTCACCGGTGACCGCTCTCCAGTAATTACATTATAGACCTTATTTCCAATGTTTAGAGACTACTTTTGTATGAACAAATTTGGGGAATAAATTTCAACGGGTTAAGGTGATTTTTTACTATAAATGCATAACCAACTTACATTAGTATTCAAGGTAGTTCCCAGATCAAACTCGTCCCCAACCAACGTAATAGTGTCAGGATTAGCGCCAGTCAACTTCTCTATAGTTTTCCTTGCATCAGCATCACTCTCAATATCTCCCAAGTTTCGGCTCAGAAACTCAATATCAGATTCCAACAATCCATCGACCAAATGATTCTGTGAATCCTCACCATCTTTACAGAGAGAGAAGGCATCATCATTCTCCAACTTTATGTCTTCGACTTTCATAGCATCCACGTCAAGATCATCCATGTTCTCAACTTTAATATTATTCAGATCAACTACATCCTCATCCTTCATTTCTTCCATTTTAATTTCGTCTAAATCTTCGACTTTTATCCCACCAACTTTCATGTCATCAATATCTTCAACTTTGATATCAGCGAAATCTGTATCTTCCTTCATCATAGGAACATCTGAGAAGTCCCTACTGTTTTCCCCATTGCCAATGTACTGGCTCGCATCAAAACTATTGCTGTCAAAGTTATCATGATTAGGTTCAACTTTGATATCTTCTATTTTGTATTTATCTTCTTCTGGCATACTGCTTGAGCATGGTTGAGGGCTGTTGGCATTGCTTATGTCACCACTGAGGGCTCGTTTATGAACATACGCCTTTATTTTCCTCAACATGAAGAGAGGTACTTTGAAGCCGGTCAGTTCTCCTAACATGGGTAGTGAGTTGTGTTTATAAGCATCACTGTTTGCAAGTTCTTCAATGTCTTCTAGGACCTGAAACATACAATAAATAAAAACATATCATATTTATAATGTTTAAGACAGATTGATGAAGGACTATTATGGATGCTCTTTGCTCTAAATAAGGGACCTCACAGAAAACCGACGTGAAGCAACGCTTGCGTTGTGTTTGGTTACCGGAAGCCCAATTACCCTCCCCTTCCCCAATCTCCCCAATCCCTGAATCCCCAACGATCCTCAAACTCCTTATCCCCAAAAAGCCGGTAACGCACTTGTAACGCCTCTGGTGTTCCAGGTGTCCAAGGCGACGCCGATTGCTTACCATCAGGTGATCGGTCTGTTCGTTTACTGCCTTATGCCATAAAAAAGGGACTTTTTTAATGGGACAAACCCGCCAAAACTCCGCCCCTCCCAAAACCACTGCTACTCCAGTAAGCCAGGGTCTAAATTAGATACAGCCATGTCTTAGTTCCCGCAATGAATAAAACAGAAGATATTATAAGATGCCTCTCCCAGTTGTACAGTCTCTTTTTGTGCCTTTAGGGTTAATTCATTCTGTCTCCTACATTAAATACACCGAGGGGAAATGGAAACTATCATTTTTTCTTCTCCTCTTTTAATATCTTCTAAATAAGGGACCGAGGAAATTAAGTCAAAGTAAGTCTTAAGTCAAAGTAATTTGTGAGTCATAGGTCTTTAAATCATCAAAACAATGTTAGCTTACCATAATATAGGTCTTCCCTCCCACAGCATTGACAAGGTTGTGACTAGCAATCCATTCCTTGTCTGACGAGTCAGCTGGATATCTGAGTAAACCAGCATGCCTGGTGTACAACCGACCACGAGAGTTACCAAGACCAAGCACCTGGAATAAATGAATGTTGTATTTATTTGCAAGAAATAATGTTCATGTTCAGATTGGCAGCATCAGCTTGATTGGCCAAAGGTAAAAGGTTAGCGCTACAATAATATTAAAATTTAGAAGGATTTATAAAAAAACAATTAAAATGTATTATTGTTCATGAAGTCTTCTAAGAGTTATAGCACAAAGTTAAACTGCATGTTATTTGATACTACTGTAAAAATTGTTTATAGGCTTTTAATAAAAAAAAATGTAGTTACTTTGTGAGCATGGGATCCCATAATAAACAGAGTTTCTTGAGTCAATCTTGCAGGGTTCCACTTCTCAGGGTCCCTAATAGCAGGGGATGGCAATGGAGATGAAGATGCACTGTCTGTGGTGTCTTCCTGTTTTATCTTCTTCCGTTTTATTATGTCCATATCATTGTCTGATTCCTTTCGCTTTTGGCATGGACTCTGTAACTGTAGACATATATATTATTTGTCAGTATGAAGTTTTTTTTACATTTTGTCATTAAATTTTGCTCATGTATTGTATTTTAATTATTTAATTGAATCATAATATAATATGACATGCCTATTATTACACCATTACAAATAAATGTATCACACCTTTTTTTTAAGTGTGAGAAAGTCATGCTTCGGCACAGATAAATAAACACCATATAATAAAATTAAAAAAATTGTATTTACTTCCTCTAAATATGCTTCTACCAATCCCTTCAGAAAATGACAGGCATCATGTAGCAGTTGCATATAATATTATGCGAAACGCAAATAAACAGGAATAACGTTTCTATTTTAATGAAACAATTTATATTATTTTGAAGTGACACTCACATTTTGCTTGACAAGTTTAGGATCAACACTATTACTAGATTCCGAATCACTGTTCTCATAAGGGGACTGAGCAGGCCTTGGCGGTGTTGTATACAGTAGTCTAGTAGCATCAAGCATTGCTCGGCAAACTGCTCTCACCTAGAAAAACATGTTACAATTTGTTTACAACTACATCTCACAATGCATTGATAAGCCAAATCCGTATTACGCAAATTACTATCAACGAGCATTGACTTATTGTGACATATTGATAAAAGTAATTAATGTTTTCTTGTTATAATATAAATAGGTACCTGATCTTCACTAACGGACTCATCTCCCAAATTGAGTCTTATATTATTTACTGCTGGCACAAAGAATTTCTGGAACAAATGGTATGTTATTTTATATGTATGTGTGTATATGTAATATAGGTATTTTATTAAAATCTAGTAATCATCAAAATATTAAATAAATATTTTCTAATAAGCAACTGAGCGCTAAAATTGTTCCAATGTGATTTTAACCCGTTGAAATTCATCCCCTAAATTTGTTCATTCAAAAGTAGCGCCTAGCTTCACTGACGGATAGACTGACAGACTATTATATATCTCATATTTGTTGACGTTTCAAAAGTATCAAATTATAGTTTAATTGAAATAAATGCTTTTGAGTTTGAGTTTGAGTTTGAGTTTAGTCTCCATTATTGGAAATAAGGTCTTTATTGTAGTTAGTAGAGAATGGTCACCGGTGACCGCTTGGGGATGTATGGGCTAACTAGCAAAAAACTGTAAGCATTAGATAGGAATTGGGTAGGTATATTCTAAAACACAAGCTGTATTAGAACTTCATGACTTTTAGAGAAAATAATAGCATTATATTGTTTTACATACCTCTAAATATTTCTTGATAACTTGGTCTATTTCCCTTGTGACTGCTGATTGTATAGTTTGCCTTAACATATCCAAAGACTTATTGGCACTGGCCCTGAACTCAGCTATGGGTCTGGAGTGTGGCTGTACTGGTCCAGGCAGACTAAACCTTCTGTGCATAGCTGCCAGTGTGTTTATGGCAATCTGCCTTGTTACTGGCTGTTTCTGAAATTTATAAATGGAATAGTTTTAAAAATAAAGTAAGGACTATGGGTATGGTGGTGGTGGGTTTTGATTACATTCATAACATATTTTCATTATTGGTTAATAGCTGTAACTATTAAAACTATTCATAATAGGTAGAAACAGTGCCAATATAACATATATGCTGACATCTTATGATTTCCAATTATTATATTGTGCCTCTAACAACATATTATGCATTAAAAATCAATACATTTGAATGAAAAAGAAAGGTCAGTGAATATCCTCATAAATTAAAGCATTTACAGAAACGCATTATATTAACGATTATAACGATAAAAACTAATATTTACTTTTTGTTTACAATTTACAGCATTTCTTAGATTCATGGAATTAATTATTTACAACTGGCGCTTTCATAAATCAGTGATATAAATTCAACTTACCGCATGCATATTGTTGGGTGTATTAGAACGAGTATTCAATGTTTTAACTGGTGCCTGAAAGCTCCATGTACCATTAGAGTTTTCTGTAGCAGGATTCTGTTGCGATGTATCGACGTTATTCCAATTCTTTTGCACCACCATTTCGAATTCCTATCATACACTGTTTTGCCTGAGTATCATGTCCAAACGCGCAAAAGATCATTCACAAATCAATCACTTCATCACACAATACTAAAACGCTATTTGGTAAGTTAAAAGAGATAATCTTGTTAGATTTTGTAGAACAAAACACACGAACTTGCTTGCTTGCTTTGAAAGCAGTGCAAGGGGAGGAAGGGGCGGGGGAGGGGTGCACGGTCGGTGCACGGATGCTGTGCTACGGTGCTGAGTGCTCAGTGTTGCTGCGCTTAAAAAGACGTTAGTGAGAAAATAAAATCGTTATGAAAGAACCGAAAATAAAACAAACATTTCTCAGGAAGAAATCAAAATAATGCTACCATTACTTTGAAAATGTTTGTAATTCATTATTTCTGTAAAACTTATTATGAATATATATATACAGAAATAATGTCCTTGATTTAATAATCTTTGTAATATTCTATGCATTATACTGGTAGCAGTATGTCTTTAAGTGCTTTAACACCTTGAACGCCATGGGGGACAACGTATGGGCCACGCTAGCGGATGATTTACCTTCAACAGTTTTCTGTCGGCAGTCAAAGCCTTAAATAAGTTTTACGTTTGGTCACAAAATAGCTACTGTTGCTGTAAAGCTCCAAGCTGTAACTAACTACCCACCCACTGTTCGTTTTAATGATGCTAGATTTCTAATTTAAAAAAAGTAATTTAATTTCTTGTCTGGGTATTATTAAAACACTATTTGATTTTTTTTTAAATTACAAACACACACAACTATATAATAGTACTTTAGGCAATGTAGTCAAATACATTTAATCAGATAATATGTTTGCAAGTGCACATAATTCAAAGCGAACCAGCAATTAGCATCCAGCGTCAACCTATAGAAATTAATTGCTTGTGTATTTTCGAACAAATGAGTTAATAACATTTGCATCTGAAATACTCTATTGAAATACTTACTTGACTTGAAACCAAAATTTTACATTTAGGGCCTTTCATATTTGTACTCAAAAATATATAATTCTACACCTACATAAAAGAATAAAAATAAAGATCAACAAGGTCGAGACACATTTGACAGAGAATAAAATAAGGCCAAACATTTTTTTCAGCTGAGGTGGAGCCGGTGGAGCTCATTGCCTAATTTTTATCTTATCTTTTTAATCTATTACTCTATCTCTTTTTTTCGTCTGTTGTTCTTGTTGAAGTGTTGACGTGACGTGTGACGTAAACACGTCATCGAAAATTCGAAATCGAAGCTACATACACCGCCCGGTGACTATTATTTTGTAGTTTTGTAAAACAAATCAAAGGTAAGTAAATTAATTGAATAGGAACATACTGATTGTACTGAACCTTGTAAAATATACATACGAACATTACATTCCGTACATTGATGTAATTCACAAAATAAGTTGATAGTTACTGATATCAATCGGTCGATGGTCGGTCGGCTCACGCACGGCTGTTGCTGGATTTACTTTTGCTTGCAGTCTGATTTGTGAAGTGGGCGGAGAACGACGTGATCAGTTATCAATACCGTTATCATTTACGAAAATTAATTGGTAAGATAGCGCTTTCAGTTCTACCATTTCTTGTAAAAATCCTATTTATTTAGGTATTTTAGTAGCAATATTTTCTATTTAAAAACAGAGATATTTCGAAGCCTTCCATCTAAGCCTTATGGACTTTGTACTTCACTTTGCCACGAACTTGTTTTCGTCTTTAGAAATGGTCTTTTATAACTACATTCCTTCTTAAATACCTATTAATATTCCATATTTGCAGGTTAGGCAAGTGTAGTATTTTTAGAACAAAAATAACTGATTTTTTCCCTGCATATAAATTAATTAATTAACAGACACACCATTACTTGTTAATGGTATCTAATTTCTTGCCAGTATTGATATAGTTTATAAATCATCTAGTATTTTGAACAATTTATCAACATCTATTTCAACATTTCTCATGTTCATCATGATGAGAAATTTACTTGTCCAAGTACCCAAGTACCTACTCAACATACTTAGATGACACTTTCACTTCTTCAGTCTTCATACAAAATTTCTTTTAGAGAGTAATACCATGACAAAACACCACCATATTCAATTTAATATTTTATTGGGACAGATTTTTTTATCTAACTATAAAGTTGCAAGTCATAGCTTTATCATTTATCTATCAATCAGTATATCATTTTAAATGTATATATTTTTTTAAATATTCTTTAAAACTTTTAGAAAATTAATAGAAGTAGGCTTAATACAAATGAAAAAAATATGGTAGTAAATGAGATCATTATCTTTAATAGTATTTAATTTATTTACTCTTTGATACATGTGTATGTTCTGCTATGTCATAATATGGTGTAATAAGATAGTATCTCAAGGCCAATATTATAAAAAAAAACATATACATTTTATAATATCTTCTAGCTGTAGAACCAATCTATTAAACCAATTTAATATACCTATAAAAGATGCTTTATAGGTTTAAGTCATCTAACTGTAAAAAAATATAATCACTCACCATTTTTCTCACAGAAAATAACACCTGGTGGAACTAACAATGGATAAAAAAGGCTGTTTAGAATCTATGAGCAGCCAAAAATATAAATTGGCGAATTTCCCAATACCAGTACTTTTTGTTTTTATTTTTATTATTATGGCCTCTGCCCTGTTGTTAGAAATTAGTTTGTTGAACTTGAGATAAATCTTTGTTGTCATTTTTTATGTAATCTTAATTTACATTTAGGTACAATGTTATCAGTAGTGTGTACTGCTTGTTAGTGGCCTGTTATTAATAATAATTTATGATATGAACTGTAAGGGTATGAATGAATCCACAACTATCTAGACCAGTAAATCATTTAGGCGAGTTACTCATAGTAGTATTTGCACAATGGGATAGGCAATTGAGAGTATTTGTAAGCTTATTACATCATCCCGTTACATGTTATAAAATTGATATCACAATAGTGCAATTACTGTTTCACTGTAGGTATTTAATAAGATCCTATCAAAAACATGTTATTGTAGGTAAAGGCGTTGTTATCAATCAAACTTAGGCACAATAACCACATATTTTGGGAAACATTTTTATCAATTCCTTTGTATAATAAATATTGTTTATATAATAATATAAATATGAAGTGCTATGAGACAGGGTGAAGTTTAATTTTAATACAAACCTATTATTTTGCATAGATAGTGACTATGGAGAATAGGAATTTTAATTGATCAATTAGTAAATGAGGCTATTACGAAGATTTTGTTGTCTATGTGTTTGAGTAGATAAACTGGACAACTTAATTTTAAAATGATTGACTGTTTCCTTGAGTGAACAATGCAAATGCTTCAAGATTTTTGCCTCAAAAGGATTATGGGGTATATCATTGTATTTATTCTCAGTAATATAAATAGTCCCAACTATTTATCAAACTACCTACTTTTTTTTTGTGATTGGTAAAAGATTGTTTTTCAACATAATAGTAATATTAAATGTATATATAGGTGGTTAAGATGATAAGTATAATTTTATCCTGTGCCAGCCATAGTAACAGGCCAGTAACTAGCATTGGTTGATTCTGCCTAAATAACAAATTTATGTTGATATCAAAATTGTATCTGTTTTAAGTTAAAATAGAAAAGGTACTTTTGGTGTAGTGTGTTGTGTAATATTCCCTATGTAATTAACACGTTGAACTTGAATTATAATGGGTACATAGTCTACGATTTTTGTTTATTTTAAAATGAATTGCGTTCACCAAGGCCGCTACAACGATTTGAGGAATGGAAATGTTTGCTTAATTTATTTCGATAAGTTAACGAACATTTACGTAGTAGTAGATAGAGTAGTTTTTAGTAGTTAGGTACTTAAGGTTTAAATAAACATGTTTTCTCAAGTGCTGTTTTTTCTCGATTCCAGATATACAACATGTCGAAAATCAAGGCCGGACCCGTTGTTGATGTGCTCGGTGATGAGATGACCAGAATTATCTGGGATCTCATCAAGGAAAAACTGATCTTACCTTTCTTGGACATCGAACTGCATGTCTACGATCTTGGTATTGAAAACCGTGATAAGACTGATGATCAAGTTACCATTGATTGCGCTGAAGCCATCAAGAAATACAACGTTGGTATAAAATGCGCAACCATTACCCCCGATGAAAACAGAGTAGAGGAATTCAAACTGAAAAAAATGTGGAAGAGTCCCAATGGAACAATCCGTAACATTCTCGGCGGCACAGTCTTCAGGGAAGCCATTATTTGCAAAAATATTCCTCGCCTCGTAACTGGCTGGGAGAAGCCCATCATTATCGGGCGTCACGCTCACGCTGATCAATACAAAGCAACCGACTTTGTTGTGCCTGGAGCTGGAACTCTTGAGCTTATCTGGACTCCTCCCAACGGTGAACCCATCAAACACGTTGTGAATGAGTTCAAGGGTGCTGGTGTCGCCCTTGGAATGTTCAACACTGATGCGTCGATCATCGACTTCGCCCACTCTTCGTTCAAATATGCCCTTGAGAGGAAGTACCCTCTTTACTTGAGCACAAAGAACACTATTCTTAAGAAATACGATGGTCGCTTCAAGGACATCTTCCAGGAAATTTACGAAAGGGAATACAAGTCCCAATTCGATGCAGCTGGTATTTGGTACGAGCACAGGTTGATCGATGATATGGTTGCTTACTCCATGAAGTCCGAGGGTGGATTTGTCTGGGCTTGCAAGAACTATGACGGAGACGTCCAATCAGATTCTGTAGCTCAAGGTTACGGTTCCTTGGGATTGATGACATCTGTGCTGATTTGCCCTGATGGAAAGACTGTTGAAGCGGAAGCCGCCCACGGCACAGTCACCAGACACTACCGGTTCTACCAACAAGGAAAGGAGACATCCACCAACCCAATTGCGTCAATCTTTGCGTGGACCAGGGGTCTTCTTCACCGCGCCAAGTTAGACGATAATGCTGAACTTAAGAACTTTGCCGAGACTCTGGAGAAGGTTTGCATTGACACAATCGAAGCTGGCATTATGACAAAGGATCTTGCTATTTGTATTAAGGGCATGAACAATGTCAAGCGATCAGATTACTGTGAAACTTTCGAGTTCATGGATAAACTCGCTGAAAACCTCAAGAAGAGTTTGGGAAAGTGACTACTCCAAGAAAAGAAATTATGTAACCTATGAACAATCTATACCAATCAATTTTTACGAATGAATTTTATACCATGTCACAAGGGAATAGGGATACTTTATTTAAACCTTATTTATAACATGTCATTGTAATTTATTATTGTAATAAATGCAATTTTAAAAGACTTACATTCAAATTATTTTGACTTTTCAATGGTAAGGGATGACCTGACCCGACTAGTTTAAATTTTAATTTTTAATGAGATAACAATCTAATGGCATTACTATACCCACCTACATTATTGTTTCGGTAATAATTTGGTATTCCTATAGCTTATTTTACGATTAATAATAAACGGATACTAAGTTTGTACGCTGTACTACTGCGAAGAGTAAATAACTTGCGATCTTTAATGGCCGAAAGCAAGGCTTAAAATCATCTTTCATTACTTCGTTTTTCCAATAACTATTTCTGATAAAGTTAATAGTTATGTAGTCGTTTGAATAGCTCCTATAGTCACACTAGAGTCGAATCCTTAAAACAATAACACGTAACATTTTAAAATCTAAAATAGTACAAAGCCTTTGAATATAATTATAAAAGTATATCTACGTGGAAATTGTAAATCAGACTCGTTTATTTATTCATTATCTTTACTGAGACTGAGATAGTCAACCAATGCAATGATTCAACACTATTCCAAGGACTTTCTACACTAGCGCCATGAATGAGAAACTAAAAACCAAGAAATGTTTTGAAATCAGACTCGTGTCTTAGTTCCGTAAATTATACACAGATGGCATGTGATGTAGATATTTCAAGGTGCACCTACCTAATTTGAAAATTAATTCCAATGTAATTTATTATTCACATAAGTACAAGTTTGGTCTTTTACATATTAAAACTGTCGTTAAACTTGAGTTATTATTGAACAGTGAATGTACATGATTATGCAATTTACTTATCGTCGACTTATGGTATCAATAGAAAGATAACAATATTATCCTACTTGCCTACCTAGGTTATTGATTTATATAATATTTTTTATTATCTGAAATTAAAAAAATGTCAATAGTTTCAAGTCAAAATTGTTGAATCAAGTGTGATACTGATAAGTAAATAGATATTATTGATTCCGGATAGGCAGTACATAAAGATAACCATATTTTTTTAAGGGGGAAAATCATCGAATGACTGCGCCCGCCTGGGGGAGGCGGGAGGGAGTGTCAGACTCTTACTGACTAAAAACCACCCCGTTCCTTCTCCTGCACGTCGAGCCGGAGCCACGGTAACCCGTTAGGTTCTCCGCGACAAGATAACCATAATAGGCTTAACTTTGGCCGAAAAATGATTGCGCTTGAGACGTGTACGACCTACTTACTAATTTTAAAAATTGACACGTTTTTGTGGAGTGTTTGTAAGCACCAGGAGGTGCGACCACCGATAGGAACCGATTTCCAAGTAATTCTTTAAATTTATCTAAAAAAAAAATATATATTTTGACACGGATGCTGATATCGTATCTACCTACCCAGTATAGGTCCTTACTAAAGAAAATGTGACCCATTTATTTTTTTTATGTGGGTGAATTAGGTGGTTACGTAACTTAACAGCCTATAGGTACCCTACCTACATATTATTCGACACTCGTCAAGATACAATATTTAGAACTGTATTGTTGCGTCGACCGAGTGGTCGCAAGTGCGACTCCTGGGTCAGACAAAGTACCGCCGGTTTTTTAAAAAAATATCTCAGCACCTAGTAGCATGGAGTCTGGAAGTGTGCCCGATATATGGCAATAGGCTCACCCCCTATTGCATGGGCTTATAACAAAGAGTAGGTGACACATTGTACAGTGACATTAAGTGCCGTAATGTGCACTTCTGCCTACCCCTTTAGGGATAAAAGGTGTGATGATGAGAGAGAGATAAAGATATTTTAAGAACGGAAGTGGTGTGTGGTTTGTTTAAAATTATTTGATAAATGCAAGTTGATAGGCACTTACCTATCATAACCAACCAAGAACGTAGATAATATTGATAAGAAATTAGGAACCTACCTACCTAGATATTTTGGTCCAGTCTTGTCAGCCACCACCGCCCACACTCGAATCAGTTTCAATTACCTAAACTGAAATCAGTTTTTGTTATTTGCGGTTACCTTCTTGGACGCAATAAACAACGGCACGTTATTTATTACTTCTCTGATTTTGGAAAGCTCATCAACAAATGGATTAAAGATACTTTGTCCATTTTGGAATCAAAGGAATGAATTTAGATAGGTACTTCTTTGTTGTTTCCTTTTTAGATGATTTTCAACTTAACTAACTAATGACCTCTTAGTCCCTATGCCTCCTTAGAATGTATATGGAATCCGCAATTACTTTCTAACCAAAACAAAATAGTGGAGAGATAGTGGTCAAACGTCGGCCCATCAAATATAAAAAAAATAAACGCCACAAGTTTTAATTTTAAACCACCTTATTCTTTTTCTTTAAAACCTCAACCAACTCCTACAAGGTAGTACAAGGTAGGGACCTACACAATTTCCAAAAAATATTATTTACGATATATTCCCTGTCCACTGAAATCGTCTATTCACTTTACAAATCGTTTTCATTTTTCTATTACAACAGTGATCCCCTATGCGGCAAGTCGTCAAATAACTTTTCTTAGTGAATTACCGGAGGCGGTTGACGCGGTTTCCCCTACAAGATCGTCCCTCCCGCGACTCCCGCCATTTCTCCCTCTTGTGGAGTGGGCCATTCAGAGACGGTTCGCGAAGCTCTCACGGTGCTTACGGCTTGCTTCAGTTTGGCGGGCTTAGCGTCAGCCATCAGGCGTGCGCGGTGTGGTCACTCCAACGAACATTTGGCGGGAACGGAAAGCTCGCGATCGCGGAAATTTAATCGCAAGAACAGCGAATTAAAAATTATAAGTTTATGTGTTTATCGTGAAAAATGTCTTTAAAATCGAGCCCCTTGTTGCTTTTACGATGGTTCATCGTTTTAAATATTATGGTAAGCTTATTTATTTCTTACGAATGGAGACGAAATGATATGAAATAATTTGAATTCTGTGTATATTTTGATTTTATTCATTGGCCATTACTGATTGATAATAAATACATCTAAGTACAATTTTACTATCCGAAGCAGGTATTAAGTCTAGGCACATAAAAAGACTTGCAATTGACACGAAAAGTGTGTAAATAAAACAAACAAAACCTTGAAGTATATAATTATAACTACAGATTTCGTGTAAACAAAATAGTTTGATAACGTAAACAAACATTTTATACTTTCCAAAAACAATAGGAAGTGAATTAGAAAGCTACTAAAACTATAACATAAACTACAAAATACTTTTTAATAACAAAACAAAGAAAAAAGAAACATTAAAGAACCGACACCTAATGTGTGCTCAAGAACTTAATTCGCGGAATCGACACGCGATACGCACATAGTTACACGCAGTCATTAACGCGGGCAATTTACCCCATTCTTTTTATACATGTCCCTCAAAGCAATGCAACATCAAAGCGAGAACATTTAGTTCAATTACCATAAGATAATATCCGTCAGTTCACTAACTGTAACCATTGCAACATCGTAGATACACATGGAGTCGAATCTCCGCCCAGAAGCGTTCGATTGCCGTAACGATGAACTTGCGGATCGAAATGCCATACATATCGAAGGGCGTAGATGCATGCGCCGATCGAGAACCGCTAGCTTGCCATATCAATTTACTAGCGCCGCTCTGGTGCACCCAATTACTAGCTCTGGTTCACATGATTCCTATTCATCAGCCTCTAGATTGCTTTAGTGCCTATTAAAAGATCGTTCGATGAGGAAACATGATGTTTAAGAGGTTTAAATTTTAGGGGACCGATGACTTTGAAACATTTTATTACTTAAAGTTCAGTTCGAACGAAATAATATTTAATTTACGTTTCGAAGAATGAGCGTGGAATTATTAAAATACTTCATGGAAGGTAGTAAGATTATGTCTGTTTATAAATGTTAATTTATTCTTTATCTACGTGGTGTAACTTGCAAACAATTTGCTCGAGTCTTAAGACTGCATAAGAAAAGCGCAAATAGTTTAATCAATAATGGAACACAAACAATACAAGTTCAATATTATTATCTGCTGTGAAAATATTACTTACTTCGTTACAAAAAAAATAACATTATTTCAATTCAATTTAGGCTTTTAGAGGTTAAATCCCTTGAAGATGTTTTCTTAAATTTAATTAGGCACAAATATTTCATTCTAATTATGCAATTGAAAAGTAGGTAAGTACCTACGTGGAATAACCGATTGGACTGTTACGCGAACTTTTTGATTCAGCATATTTTCTACTACTAACTGCTGCTCCTACTTTAATTTAGAATCTTGACCTTAATGGTGGTCGTGTCTAATTCAGCTTTTACAATCATCATTAAGCAATCAGAAAACTCTAAGCTACGGAATCAATCGCTAATTTTAATCGAAAAACAGACTCGCTGATTGGTTTATTTTTATTGCTCTCCATTGATTAATCGTCCTCAATCCTAAGAATAAAGAAAATCAGATTTCATATAAAGTTGGATTAAATATCGAGACATTATAATAGTGTTTATTGTTCCGAAAACACTTGAGATTTACAGAAGTCAGAAAATATTATTATCTGTCGTTTTGAAAATACTTATTTTTTAAACGTATCTCGTTAGGACAAGTTATAAAATGCCAGTAAATTTCTGATGCTTTTCGCAAGAATCTAACACTAAGACAGACGTACTTAGATACAATGTTTCACTATCTTGATGATGTAAGGGATATCTGAGTCAGTAACCATTGCATTTATTTTTATGACACTAAATTGCTGCACGCATATGGTCAAAAGAAAGGTACCTGCAGTTGATTTTTAGCTTACCAAGCGGACACACTAGGGGAGATTCACTTATCTCTTGATAGTACTGTGATGGTCTATTGTAATTTATTACGACTTTTATATCTTCCGGGATAATTTGTTTTACTGCCTCTTGTTGTTACACGCACTGTTTAGAACACTATACTCTAACTATACACTTGTTCCTACTTCGGAGAAGATTTGTCATTCCATATTCAGTTTTAAACATGTATAAAAGTAACAGTTAGACTCATTACGAAGGACCATGAAGCGTAGCATTTTGGACTTGTCTAACAGTAAGCGAAATTAGGTTGAAATTATGATTCTAGACTTTGCAAAAAAAGTGCAAACCAAATTTGTTTTACGACTATGTAAGCAAGTTCACACTTGAGGTAAATGAATCCCTGTTGCAAGCGCCAAGTACTGCCGTCAACAAAGGTATTAATTTACTAAGAGATCATTGTTACGTGTTCTACTTAAGTATTAATAGCGGGTCCCCCTGCTGGGATTCACAGAATTTTGATTAAAGTTACATAACGACCGTCGTATCCACGTTCGGTGTCTGATCTTCATTGGCGCGCGTGGGAATCGTCTCCGGCTATGCAATTAGGGAACGCCGGGAGCGGAGGGTAGTCAATTACCGCGCGCACTGTTTTTATTGCGACTCTCATTGTCGATGCAATGAAAGCTCAGCCAAAACGTAACAATAAACTTTATTGCGCCCCACTTGTTTCCTTTGCACTCTGACATTCCTAGTTGCGATTTAATTTGAATTTTGTTAAATGGTTTAAGGTTAAGGAATCTGTTTATAACTTGTTCGTTTTGCATATTTTATTTATTTATTTAAGTTTATAGCACATCAACTGTAAATTGTGCTCATGAGACGTGCCCAGACATTCAGTTGGTCTATCTACATAATATTTTAACTACAGTTTTAGTCTGTAGTGTAGTAGCCACCTGACTACGTTGATGTACGGATTAATAAACACTCGCAAAGCGTCTGTAATTCAATGAATGCGAACGTGCCATCATGTTCCACATTTTTGAAATTACTTCATTAAGTAGATTCTTTTTTTCCTAGTCCACTACTCATGCGTAACAAAACACATTAAGCAATTCAAAACACCTCGTGGTCTCGCATAAAAAGCAAGTGAGAAAGTGATTGCGAAAAAAAATAATTAAAGGAAAAAACATATCATGTCATATGTGTATACCACGTCTTAGAGTCAACGACCTAAACCAATTATAGTTGCATAATAGAATACTTTTTTCACATCGATTTAAATTGGTTTTTTCAAACCTTTAGCCAATTTACGATGGTTAGATAGCGTCTTACTCGATTAGATAGCTTTGGAGATATAAAACTACGAAGATACTTGGAGTAAAGGTACTTTTATTTGTTCGTATGTCTTACTAAGTATAGTGCATTCTAGATATCATGGGACCAAAACAAATATTTGAAAAATGGCACTTAATACACACTCTTCTAGTAAATAAAGCTGAGTTTTACAAGCGTCGATTTAATTGTTTGCGTTCTTGTATTGATCAAGCAATTATCGAATGGGTTTTTCGTGTTCACTATCTTCCTCGGTAGAAAATTAAGAAATTGGTTTTCTATAAACCGTTGAACAAGTTATTTAATTTCATGGGATCATGTTTCCATGTTTGGTTTATCATGTTTATCATGTTGTGTATTTGGTAATACCTATTGAGTGATTTTAAAATAAATCCTTATACATACCGAAGATCAACATACCTAATATTATTTTAATTTTTTGCTTAGTCATCTTCATAGAAGTCGACATCTTTTGACAGAGACAGTTAATGCATTCTTGATTTCAAAAGTGTTTCTAATGGTAGTAATAGAAATAAATGATTTGACTTTAACTTCAAGATAAATTTTGAGGACACAATGACTTAACATATCCTTATAGGCATCAAGGATTCTGATATTGATAGAAATGCAAGTTTTATTGCTTGCGTGTGCATACACAATAGTTTCATATCTAAATGCAAGCGATTCGCAACGAGCGACAATGAATAATGCAATCCATCGTTGTCCTTAAGTACCTAGGAATTATTTTGTTCAATCGTTGAACCCTTTGCGCACCTATAAATAGTTTTCTTTGAATTGTATTAAGTTAATTAACTTGGTAATCTCAGTCCACCTTAGATTCAATACGCAGGTCATGAACTTATACTGGAATTGATGTTAATTGGATTATAAGGATTTTATAACAAGACCATTCGTTTGTTTTATTGGTTTACTCGTGATTTCTACCTATATTATTTTTAAAGCAGGATTGCGATTGAGGTTAGGGTTTCCATAATTGGAACTCTTGGTAGCAATAAAGGTCTGTCTAGTGGCAAGCGGTCTCCGTAACCTAATTGCACCTGCAATACCAGAGACATCACTATGCGTTATAGACCAACCATGTCGCATGTAGGAAACTGTTTGATTGCGTTATCGTTTCCGTAGGTGTAGAGGATATCTTGCAAAAATATTGGCGCAAACGAATAGCAGATTGGGATTGGGATTTTAATACTGGGTTTCGTAAAATTGAGATTAAATCGACAGATTACGAAAACCGAAAGTGTATGTAAAACAGTGTCGCATATGGCCGCCAGGAACAACGTAATTGCGACAATTCTTCGGTTGTAATAAGTCAAATTATGACGTATTTATTTGTATTTATTACAATAACTTCCTTACCTATGTGGCAATTTTGACTTGCAGTAAAATTAACTATTTCCTCCGACGTACTTTTACTTTTAACTTTTCTCTTTCTAGGGGCAATAAAAATTAATATGCTAATTAGTTTTATGCTGAGACGTGTAACAAAGAGTCGTCAAAGATTTAATAACTTGTAATTATAGTATAGGTACACCTATCTATTAAAGCTGTCGGTGCTAAAATTGAATTTCTTAGGCTTTAACAATTTTCTTTCCAATAAGGACTAGTTACCTGGTGGTACCCTATATTTATATTTTACTTCTTATTAGAAAGTAGATTATAAGAGTTAGAATGAAGGCGAGGAAAGCCTTTCTAATGAAACCTAGGTATACGGGAAACAAAAATTACTACAATTTATTTCTAAATATAGATAATTTCAAAAGGGAGAG